GGTTTTATAACAAAAAAACCGAGAAAAATACGTTTTTTGAAGATATTATCAGCAAATTACCATCAAAGTAGGCGCCGAAATAACGCCGTTGACAGCTTTAAATGTCAAAAAAATGACAGTTTCAACAATTATGAATACTAATAATGTATTAGGGTACACACATTTAATGTAGTTTCATAATTGGTAGCCGTTCACTTTTGGAAGATTTTTAACACTTCCGGTATTAAAGAATTTTTTTAATATTTTGGATAGTGTGGATTGTTTCTCCGGGTAAATATTATTGAACAGTGTACAAACTTCACTTTGAGTGCGTTTTCTATCACCGTACCCATACATCATTAATATTTGGATTCTTTGTTCGCTTAATTGCGCCATATTTGTTTAAATTGTAATTTTTTTGACATTTAAAGCTGTCAACGGGGCTATTTCGGCGCCTAAATTTTTCTTATACAACCATGGACTCACCCTCACTTGAGTGCAAGACGGACTGCTTGTCAGCAAAATACGTTTTCTCAAGAAATTACCTCACCTACATCAGTCCCACTGATGGCTCAAAAAGACGGAACGGGGCGGGAGCGGGGGTCTTTTCCCATCATCCTCGAATAGGCCTCTCAGAACCTCTAGGTAAAGGTACCTCCGTCATACAAGCGGAACTGACCGCTATCAAACTTGCTGCTGATTATATTGTTGACTCGAACAAACGCGGTAAGTGTTATACTATTTATACAGACAGTAGGCAATCTGTTTTAGCGTTAAGATAACGTCTGCACTAATAATGGACTACCATCTAGCACTGGAAGAAGCCACGGAACACAATCGTGTCACTATCCAATGGATCACGGGGCACTCCGGCTCTACGGGTAACAAACATGCGGATAGGCTGACAAAGCGTGCTGCCAGCAGAGTTCCCTGTGCACCCGAGCCGATAATTACCCCTTCATTAACTACTCATATCAACATGATTAAGCACATTACCCACAAACAAATCCTAAACGCGTGGGACAAAACTCCGGGCTGCTATCTTGCCAAGGATTTGTTAAAATGTCCTTCGAAATCTACAGCTCAGTTTTTCGTAGGGCTTGGGAAAAACGCCCTTCGATTAGCCACAGGTCTCCTCACGGGACACTGTAAGGTAAACAAGCACCTTCACAATATGAGCCTGTGAACAGGACGACGAGACCGCTAGACACATCTTGTGTGATTGCCCCTCGCTAGTAGACCTCAGAATGAGGACCCTCGGAGAGGCATGGCCGACCACAGATGATATCAGGAACTTACCTCTGAGTAATATCCTGGCCTTCGGTAATTCCCTAGGCTGGTTGATGTGAAAAGAGGTTATGCTGGGAGTATGCACAAGGGGTCCAATGGGGCCTAAGTGCGGTGTGCGGGAACGCATGCACTCCCGTTTCCTTACATTACTTTACATATACAACCATATGATTTGATATGTTCATCGCGTAGAGGGAGTTATCCCCTATCAAAATATGCAAAAAAACATATACATCCCATTTCAAATAACAATGTTGGTTGCCATAGCAACGAAACACAAAAAAGAATGTAAACAAGCAAGTATCGCCGTAAAATGCGCCACAATTAATAATAGTATTCAAGTTGAAAAACGAGTGGCGAAGCCACGAGTTTTTTAATGAATGAGTGCTTTAAGTCTTATGAAACGTGTTTTTTATGCTATTTTTTGTAATTCGCGTTTTTATTTTATTTTTTTTAACAAAAATAAAATAAATTTTGACAATGTAGGGAAATAGGTATGCAGTAGTTGGTAACACCAGTAACACTTGAAAATAGAAATTTGAATTGTCAATTAGAAACTGTCAAAACACAAAATGTATTCACCTGAAAAAATGTTTCATGTACAGGGTGTCCCAATTTCGATGTCCGCATAGGCTATCTCCGAAACTAAAAGAGAAGGAAAAGAAGTAGCTTACATGTCATGATCTCGTTTTTCGAGGAAATGCTAATGCCGAAAACTCCGAACAGCTATCGTCTTTTGTTTTCGCCCTATCGGCAAAATCTGAAAATTTTGCGAAAACGACAATAGCGAATATCTCACTTATTATCATAGATGGAGTATTATAAATAAAACATTATATGGGCAACTTTTTACGAAGAATGCAGTGGCGTAGGTAGAATTTTTTTCCCATCTTTTATTTTCGAGATTTTAGACGTAACTTTATTTTTTTAAATGGAAACCATAGTTGGCTATGACTTAAAATAATTTGTTATTTTCTTCTGATAACAAATATATATAGTTTGTGGGGTATATTTCTTATAGTTATTGAATAATTAACAAAAATTCATTTTGTTCCATCTAAATCTAATGTATGTATTTAAAAGTTAATGTTGCTATGGTGATAACCATACATACTATGATGGAATATAATGTATCAATTTTTTTTGTTCTTTCTAAAACTATTGTATGTATTTAAAACTTAATGTTGTTATGGTGATAACCATACCATGAGGGAAAGCATTGTTTCCAATTATTGCCAAAGTTTGTAGCAAGGACAGTAGAATCTAACAGGACTGCTACATCCATTGTAGTGACAGCCTACCCGCAAACTACGTCACACCATTTTCCACGCCCAGCTGTTGTTATGGTCTATGCGTTTGCTGTGTGTTTTTAGAGGTTATATCCTAGACGTATTCATATTAGTTTTGAAGTTTTATGTTTTTAGACGTATTAATGTCTATCATATAACCTCTAAAAACATAGACAGTTATCAGGCGTGGCAAATAGTGTGACGTAGAGTGCGGGCAACCAACCCGTAGTCGACTACAAAAATACAATGGATGTAGCAGTCCTGTTAGATTCTACTGTCCTTGCTACAAACTTTGGCAATAATTGGAAACAATGCTTTCCCTCATGGTATGGTTATCACCATAACAACATTAAGTTTTAAATACATACAATAGTTTTAGAAAGAACAAAAAAAATTGATACATTATATTCCATCATAGTATGTATGGTTATCACCATAGCAACATTAACTTTTAAATACATACATTAGATTTAGATGGAACAAAATGAATTTTTGTTAATTATTCAATAACTATAAGAAATATACCCCACAAACTATATATATTTGTTATCAGAAGAAAATAACAAATTATTTTAAGTCATAGCCAACTATGGTTTCCATTTAAAAAAATAAAGTTACGTCTAAAATCTCGAAAATAAAAGATGGGAAAAAAATTCTACCTACGCCACTGAATTCTTCGTAAAAAGTTGCCCATATAATGTTTTATTTATAATACTCCATCTTTGATAATAAGTGAGATATTCGCGATTGTCGTTTTTGCAAAATTTTCAGTTTTTGCCGATAGGGCGAAAACAAAAGACGATAGCTGTTCGGAGTTTTCGGCATTAGCATTTTCTCGAAAAACGAGATCATGACATGTAAGCTACTTTTTTTCTATCTCTTTTAGTTTCGGAGATAGCCTATGCGGACATCGAAATTGGGACACCCTGTACACCTCCCAAAATAAGAGAAATTGCTCAGTGTTCAATGACCTCATCATTGTGGACCTTGTATTCGATGCTAAGAACGTGTTTAAATATCCATAGACAAAAATTGGCACATTGACAACTAGCAAAATTAATGACGCAATGTCACCAACTTGAACTGGCTCCATAAAATGTTACTAAAATCTCATTACAGCATCGGATGCTGTAAGGAGTCTCATTACAGCATCGGATGCTGTAAGGAGTCTCATTACAGCACCCGTTTGAGTACTGTAATAGCTTTTATTACCGTCGCGAATTACAAAAAGAATTTTTTATTTGAAACATTTTTCTTTAAAACCTCAAATGGCTAAGTTATTGGCTATATTCCAGATATTTGACACACCCTGTATATTATTATTATTATGAGACGCACGGTTAAACCCGATACTTTCTAGTTCTAGATCTAGTGTTAGTTCTAGTTTTACACTAGCACTATCACTAGAACTAACACAAGAACTAGAACCATTCGGGTTTAGCCACACGTCTCTCTCAATGTTAGTTCTAGTGACAGTAGAAGTATAAACTAGAACTAACACTAGACCTAGAACTAGAAAGTTTCGGGTTTAGCCGTGCGTCTACAGACGCACGGCTAAACCCGAATGTTTCTAGTTCTAGATCTAGTGTTAGTTCTAGTTTTGCACTAACACTATTACTATGTAGAACTAACACTATACCTAGAACTAGAATCATTCGGGTTTAGCCACACGTCTCTAAAGACGGCTAAACCCAAATGATTCTAGTTCTAGATCTACTATTAGTTCTAGTTTTATACTAGTACTGTTACTATGTAGAACTAACACTATACCTAGAACTTGAATCATTTGGGTTTTGCCGCACGTCGCTAAAGACGGCTAAACCCGAATGTCTCTAGTTCTAGATCTAGTAAAACTACTCTTAGTTCAACAACAATCTAGCGCTGAATAACAAAACTAGAACTAACACTAGACCAAGAACTAGAATCATTCGCGTTTAGCCGTCTTAACAGATGTACGGCTAAACCCGAATGATTCTAGTTCTAGATCTAGTGTTGGTTCTAGGATTTTTTTCAATAAAAATGCAACGTAGTGCTACCTACCATAATCACTAGAACTAAAATTAGACCTACTACTAGAAACATTATGGTCTTTAGACGCATTTTTAGAATTAGTGTTAGTTCTACTTTTAATTCAATAAAAATATACAAATAACATTTAATATTACCTAGATAGATTTATCATCTATAATTTTCTTTTAACTCAATTTTTAGCAATGTTTCTTTTTTAATTTAATTTATTAACCATGTAATTAATAATTTTTCGCTCAAACAAGTTTTAAACAAATATTACCTTACGTTTTGTAACAACTTTGCTTTATTTCTATTATTACAACCGCAAATATGATATTACCTTGATTTAAATAAGCACGAAATAATTTATGTATTGACACATTTTTTTATTGCAACTTTTTTAATTGTATAAATTATTTAATTTCAGTTCGGACTAACGAAGAAATTGTTATATAAAGGAAGTAACGAACCAAAAAAGAATTCTTTCGGAATGGGAGAAGAAAGCACAACAACATCTGGTTTATATTGTAAATTCTACACTCACCGCGTTTTCTTTATACGCGAGCGGAGAAGTTTTTATTTTACGTAACGGTGAACAACGATTTTATTCTCGATGACTCATTCGAAACAGGTAATAATCTAATTTAGGCCAAAATATTTTTTATTGTTTAAAACGAATTATTTCATTTTTAACAAACACAAGAAGTTAATCGTTTACAACAATCGTAATCCTCGACGGTTGGGGGCATTTTCGCCAAAGATAAATACGGGATGTTCATGTAACGGTATTTGTAGATTTGGAAAGGTGAAAAACTTTCTTCGTCATCAATCGATCGGTGATGAGGCGAGCGGAACTTGCAAATTGGTGATTGGGGGCGACGATGTGGGGGAACACAACAACACTAATAATAATAATTAAATAATTATTAATTAATTAAAACAAAAATAAAAAAAAATAACTTACTTGAGATAGTGTAATTAACCCAAAAATAACCAAAACCACAAAAAATTTCATTTTTACTACTTCTTTTGTTGTTAAAAGATTTTTTTTGATTGATTAAACGACTTCGTTAACCTCCTTTTATACGAATTAAAAAAATTTGTTTATAAACGAAAAATCACGTTTAAACAAACTAAAATTTATTTATTTTTTAATTTTATTATTGTCTGTTGAAGGTTAGATAAGGTTAAAAAGGATGAAAAAGTCATTAGAAAAAAAAATACTTAAGAAAATACGTTGTAAAATGAAACGAAACGAAACGGCCAGATGGAAATCCAGGAGAAAAGTTCTCATGGAATGGAAAGACGGGGTGGCAATCGTTTGGTTTCCGAGTTTCCCATTGGTACACGCTCGTCTCCTATTAATAAGTAAAAAGATAGTTGAAACGGACCTTAAATCGAATAAAAGGACCTTTCACTGACGTCCAGGTCCTTGATATTGAAGGATGTTGGTGGTGCGGCGTGGTGCGTGAGCAACTCATTTTAAAAAGACGATCTTAAAAAAAATCTTATCAAGGTAAAACAATAAAATAAATTATTTAAAAATTAAAATTTATTTAAACAAAAAATTTTTTATAAAATTTCAGATGATGAACTTTAAAGTTACGGGCCTTGTGGCCGATTTGATGCCCAACATCCGTTTGATGCAAGCATCGGGGCACTTCATGTTGAATTATTACGCCGACAACAACGGTGCGTTGCATACTTTGCGTCTTGGTTATTGTTTTATGCATCTCTTCTTGGTTTTGCTTCAATACGGGTAAATTATAACAAATTTTTGATTAAAAAAAATTTTAATTATTATTTTGCGAAGATTCACCTTTGGAAATCTCGTCCAAGAAAGCGACGACGTCAACGATTTGGCTGCGAATACAATCACGGTGTTGTTTTTCACCCATTGTTTGACCAAGTTCGTTTACTTCGCGTTGAGATCGAAATTGTTTTATCGGTGAGTTTGTGATAATTTTAAATTTATTTTTATGGTTACGTTTTTCGTTTTGTTCCAAAGAACTTTGGGGATTTGGAACCAAGCCAACAGTCATCCTTTATTCGCTGAATCCAACAACAGATATCATGCTTTGGCTTTGACGAAAATGAGGAGAGTTTTGGCTATTGTCGTCATTGGAACTTTAGCAAGTTGGATTGGTGAGTAATAAAACTGTTTATAATAATCTAAGTGTCAAAAAAATACTTAAATATTTTGCATTTGTTAGTAAAATTAAAAATTGAAGCCTAAATACTGCTTCTAGACGATTTTATATTAGTTAGTGTTTGTGCTGGTTAAGGTTGGCCGTGTATTATCTCAAAAAATACTCAGATTCATGTGATTAAGTCACTTAAGCTATATCATTTTAGAGTCTAGGAATCTCAAATATAAAGACTTGGAAGTTGAAAATGTCTGTGATTATTTTTTTAATATATTCAGAGCTTTACCAACTGTCTCGAAGTTTTCGTCCTCGTTCTTCAACACATTGTGAATATCTTCATTATTATGAAAGTCATACGAATATTTAAACATAACATGTTCGTGCTTGCTCAACTGCCGTTTCATTTTCATCCAGGTTGGGGAGTGTTAGAATGTAGAATATGTACAGGGTGTCCCGTTAAGCGTACGGAGCGGCTGTATCTCTAGAACGTTAAGGCCTAGAGGTTTGGGAAAAGAATCCTTATAAGCAAAGTGACCAAGAGAAATAGCTGGAAATTATTTTGAAGTTCGTAATTCAACCGCTAAGGGGCGTAACTGCCATTGAGAAACATAAAGTTCCCGCTATCTCAGAAACTTAGACGATGAGCTACAACTTTGACAACATCATTTAATAGCTTGGATAATACCGCATCGCTTTTGTTTAGCGATATTTCTCATATTTGTCATAATAAGGGAGGGGGAGGCCAATGCGTTTTCATATGTTTACATTTTAATATCTCCTAGACCATTCAACCGATTTGAATATTTTCGGTGTTGTTTAAAAGAGCATTTTATTCTCTTTTTAAAGATATTTTCAGTAATTTCAGTATTTTCCGTTTGCTTTAAAACAAATGAGCTAGAGGGCGTTATCTGCAGCGATTACATATTTTTGTGATTTTTGAAGAAAAGTTAAATGGAACGATACTATTTACTTCACAGACCCTTAGTCACCTTAAAATTTGCTAAATTTTAGTGAAAACCGCATCTCGATATCGCCACCCGTTCTCGAATTATAGAAGAAAATGTTAAAAACTCGAGTGCCATCAATCGGATCCAGTTACTTCATCGAGAAAAACAAATCACATAACCATGGTAACTGTAAACATGTCATTTACTAACGCAGAAGCGTATGATAGAGCGTATGATGATTTTGTCTTTTTAAGATTACGAAAAACTGGCAACGTGTAGCCCATTCAGACATCTCTATGAATTCGTAAATCACATTGGTGCGCAATCTCCGAAAACAATTGTCCACAAGATTTCTCAAGAGAATAATATCTCCACCACGTTGTTTTACATCAGGCCTTAACAGATACCGATTGTCTTATGTTCATTAATTAAAACACTACCCTTTTATTATACTATATAACTTTTTATTCAGTGTCATTCAGCGTCCATTACATTTTTCTATTCTCTTCACAGTCTCGTCTTTATCTACATTACCACTAACGCCATCTACCTAACACCGTATACAACACCGATTATGATAACAGACTGAACTATTACCATTGACTTTTAAATATGATTTGGGCAAATCCAAACCTTTTATCACAAATGCTATGTAAAGCAAGCTGATGTAAACTTGCAATAATATGCATTCTTGGTTCGAGCAAAACCCACATTGCTTTCACCCCTTTATCTATTGGGTAGACTAAACGACCGGACTTTTCAAGTAAAACCAATAACCGGGGAAAATATGACAAAACATTAAATACCAGTAGAAACGTGTCCAGGGCCGAGACTTAAGCTGCGCTTTTTTTTCGTCGAAACTAGATTAAATAAATGCATCGAGGTTTATGGAAGGCATTTCGTACATTAGCAAGTTATTTTTGCCAAAAATTTAAGTTATTCTAAGTGTTTTGGTTTATTTTGTTTTATTATCATTGTTGATGTTTCATTGATCCGTTGGCTTTTCAACACGCCTCAAAAGTAGTTTTGAAGCAGTTCTAAGCTTGGATAAAGTGTGAAGGAAGGTTCTAGATAATAAAATTTTTGTTCTCTCTTATTTGTTTCCTAAGGTAACTTGATCCGATTAAGATATACGAATTTTTAACATTTTCTTTTATAATTCGAGAATGGATGGAGATATCGAGATGCGGTTTTCACTAATATTTAGCAAATTTTATGGTGATTAACGGTCTGTGAAGTAAATAGTACCGTTCCATTTAACTTTTTTTCAAAAATCACAAAAATATGTAACCGCTGCAGATAACGCCCTCTAGCTTATTTGTTTTAAACCAAGCGGTCTTACTGAAAATATCTTTTAAAAGAGCATGAAATGCTCTTTCAAACAAGACCAAAAATATTCAAATCGGTTGAATGGTCCAGGAGATATTAAAATGTAAACATTTGAAAACGCATTGGCCTCCCCCTCCCTTATTATGACAGATATGAGAAATATCGCAAAACAAAAGCGATGCGGTATTATCCAAGCTACTAAATGATGTTGTCAAAGTTATAGCTCATCGTCTAACTTTCTGAGATAGCGGGAATTTTATGTTTCTCAATGGCAGTTACGCCCCCTAGCGGTCGAATTACGAACTTCAAAATAATTTCCAGGTATTTCTCTTGCCCATTTTGCTTATAAGGATTTTTTTCCCAAATCTCTAGACCTTACCGTTGTTGAGATACAGCCGCTCCGTACGCTTAACGGGACACCTGTATATTCAGAGCTTTAGCAACTATCTCGAAGTTTTCGTCCTCGTTCTTCAGCACATTGTGAATATCTTCTTTATTATGAAAGTCATACGAATATTTAAACATAACATGTCCGTGCTTGCTCAACTGCCGTTTCATTTTCATCCAGGTTGGGGAGTTTTAGAATGTAGAATATGTATAATCGTTCTTGGCAGACTTCCAATTAGCATGAACACCAACGCCAGGTAGTAAATAAAACTTAGACGTTTGATGGCAACTAAATTTGAGTTGTTATAATTTAGGATATAGATCATGATAACTGATAACAGCTGTTTTCAAAGATTTTGACCAAATATTGATATAGTAGAAACCACGAGAGCTGGCAGTGACAGATCGCTTAAAAATGGTATGAATCAAGATATGGACGTACGACTTAGATTATTTCACCACATACATTTAAATGTAGGTTATGTTAGTAATGGAGGTTATATGTCAAAGATATTATTTAATGATTTTCCTTTCAAAGAAAATATTTTCGGCTTCAGATTCATGACAACGCTCACAAGACGTTTCGATTTGAGGTTATAATTATAGAGTTACATCCCTTAGAAGAACAGACGTACTTTTTCGACGTGGCCATTTGAATTGTACAGCAGACATATTAAACTAATGCTATCTCTTTCTAACACACATTACTCACTAGCGGTTTATCAACTACGTATGGCATTTGTAAGAGCGGAAAACGATGATTTACTGCCACCTCTCGTGGCGTCTACTATATATCTGTACTACAAATACTAAATGAGTTTGGAACCAAAGATTACATAAAAGTCACCAAATGCTTGGATGTATGCTGACAACTTAGTAGTGATCGCGAAGGAAGTGGGTGAGATGAGGACAATGATACGGTCTCTAAAAAAAAAGCGAAACAAGTTATGGGTGAGACATAGCGATGTGAAAAAGAGAAGAATAATGTTTGAGAGTTTAATAAAAAGTGTTATGATGTTTGGGGTTGGTTTGGGTTGGAATGGAAGAAGCAAGGATGTAAAGACCAAGTACTGGGGTGAGTTATTAGTAGCCCGGCGAACGATGGTTGCTAAATTGTTTGAGAAAGAAAAAATATTTATAACAAAAGTCATGTAAAGACTTCACGGAGTAACTGATAGTATGTTATTGAAGACATTAGGCGCACTTATCAGTTTCTAGGTATGTGGTGGCTTTCATGAAATGTTAATATATTTGTCTTTGGGTCCGAATTTACATAATCTATGCCTCGGGTCGGCCGACGTCTTCGAAGACGGCCGTGATCAGGTGTTTTTGTTTTGGGATGATTGACATTTATAGACAAAACTAACCTTACTCAATTTATTAAACCGGAACTAATGGCATAACAAAAGAAAACTGACCTAGATCCTCTTCAAGTACTACCAAGTCTTTTTGGCTGTATAGTTATGTATGTAATTTCAAATGGGGGTGAATTCCTTGATAGTACTTAATTCATAGTGCTTTATGTTCAAAATTTGGGGCCAATGGCACACCAAAAATGGATTCCCTTAAGTAGGCGAGGTTTGCTTACGTAACCTGCAGCCTTCTTTGATCCATCAGTGTGGTCTAAGTCACCAAAATAAAAATATATCTTGGTTAAATCTTAACCCTTTGCACACTCGTATGTCGCAAGATGCGTTTTACCGTTGCGCTCGTATGCCGCCGTATAATCGCCACAATACGTTTAAGCTTTGCACTCATATGTCGCCGTATAGGCGGCACACCATGTTAAACCACTTCAGTTCACATGTGCACCATTTTTGCGTTTTGTATATTACTCAGTTTTATAACTAACACGATTGGGTAAAGTTCGGTGTATTTTTTCGTTATATTTCGAAAAAAAAA